CTTCATTATTCAAACCAGTTCTTAAACCCCTGGTTAAAATAGATGTTGAAAATTTGTTTTGTCAAGGAATGTCTGATGTGTCCAAGCACTACTTAAGAACCTTGCTCACAAAATGGATCCACAAAACAGACGACAAAGCTGTTCCAATTTTCTGGATCCACTGATATTACCTTTTCATAGTTAATTTCACTGAGGCCTTTTTTTTTTAATAAGGCTGGAATCAGTACTTTCAGGAAAAAGGAATTTGTTACCTACTAGATCCAACAGGACCTCCCCACCCTGCTTCTCATAAGAAGCTATGAGGGACGAAGTTTGAATGAACAGGTTGCTAAATTCTGTCAAATATTAAATTGTAGCATGATGCTTTAAGTTATTCCATACTTAAAGCAATGCAGTCTGCTGAATCAAAATGTTCTCAGTCAATGATGTTAAATCACTTCCAACTTAATTAACCACCTAATAAATTGGATATATATTTATAAACAGTAGGAATATTTTTCTTAAGGAAGTTTTTTACTGATTAAAATATACTGTTAAGTAAATTGCTTCAGCATAGTGCTATGATTCTTGCTAATTTTAAATAATATTAAAACACTGGAAACAATGGTCTATCTCTAAACTTTTCAAAACAGCATAAATAAGATATTACTAAATAGTTGAGTTTAGCAATGTGATTAGAAACTAACAACTTTATCTGAAATGTTTGTTTCTTGGAACATGGCAACTAAATCTGATAATCGCTTTTCCTCCAGCAGCCTCCATCTTCAGAATCGCCAACAATTTCCCCTCAGTCTTCCAGCAGGCATAGCTCAGGAAGTCACCAGCTCCCTCGAGGATATATACCCATCCCTGTGATCCATGAAGGAAATGTCCCAAGGCAGCCATCACAGGTCTATCATCAGGCACAGAAGATGCCTTGCCCAGTCCAGCCAAGTGACTACCAATCCCATCAGCCAGTGTACCATAAAATTCAAGTGGATGATTTGGATCAGAAGCCTCAGCGGGCGCAGTCTCCATTCAGAGGGATACAGCGAGGCTCAGCAAGTCGTGAAAGTTCACCTGGAAGGATCCAGTCCCCAACACCAATCAGA